TAGGCACGATTCTGTTAATAGTGCTAATCTCACACTTGTATTTTTTTTGTTAGAAAAAGACATTTAACGCTTATTTCCTCTCCTAAGAGGTAATTTAAAGACCTCTGCTAATTTTAGCAAAGCTTGATGTTTTGATTTTCCAATGACATTTTAACTTTTGTTCTGCTTGTTGTTGGAAACCAGCTGATCTTGTTCAAAAATATTTGTTTAATTCTGATGCCATGTGCTCCTCCATCACAAGGATACACTTTGTCACAAAGGTTCAGCTGAAGCTTTGGGGCAAGCAATATTTATAAGCTTTTTATAAGCAGTGGAAATGGCACAACTCATAGAAATTCAATATTTTTGACAAAAATCAAACAAACAAAAATCCCTGCTAGACCTCAGAGCAACATTCAATACTGTTGACCAATGATATCTTATTACATAGATTAGAACATTTTGTAGGTACCAAAGGTACTGTGCTGCAAGTGGCTGGGATCATATTTATCTAACAGACTCCAATATGTTCGTTTGTCTCTACTTCTGGAGTGGAAAACAATGTTTTATTTTTAAATATTTCTAAATCTTTTAAAGGTTTCATTTATTAATGATCCATCACGGATTTTACATATTCCTTTACTCTCTTTCCATTAATTTCCTTTTCTGTCTAACAGAAAGATCCTACCACTTTGGATGACAGGGGGCTCACCCCTTGCAAATCTGGCGCAACAGCCGCAAACATTGTGGCAGATCAGGGATTCCACTTGGGTAATAAAAATGTGTCATTCAAGTTTTACCCTTCACCATCTGAACTGTCATTAATGTTTTTAGTTGCTATTAGCATGTAAGAATACATAAAATGGAATTTTGGATAATAAACCCTTTAATTTTGTCTTAAATTCACCAGGAAAGTGAAGTATACAAATGACTGACTTCCCAGTGCTACCTTTGGCCCTTAAGTGTTCTTTATGCTGAAGTGGCTTTGTGTTCCTCCAGTCGCCAGAAGGTACGGATCTTTTGACTGAAAGGAGAACAGTGATGTCAAATATACAAATCAACATGGTTCATGCTGGGTTTAGCAAGGAGTACATTTAATTCAGTTCAATTCAGATTTATTTATATAGTATTAAAATCACAACAATAGTCAAATAAGGATATTTTTACTATACATTAAAGGTCCTACATGTTTAGAGAGCAAACCCCAACAGTCAGATCATCCTCTAGTGGCTGCGTCTTTCCATTGAGTTGCAAACTTCAGAAAAGCAAAAATCTTTGGGAAAAGTAATGTCTTCTCTCTGGTTACTCCTGTCTTTGAACAATTTTTTTCTGTTTTTAATGTTTCTTTCTAAACCACATCTCTGAAGGATAAATAAGGGTTGAAAGGCCATTTTACTTAAAAATACAAGCGTGGAACTAGTGGCATTAACAAAACGGTGCTTGTGAGTAGACCAACAGGAGACGGAATTATCCCACAGCCTTTCAAATCCATAAGTATTTTAAAATTCTATTTCATCAGTAGAAATATACCAGAAAAACATCAGCTTCTTCATAATGACTTGCTTAAACCAGAAACACATCAAGAAAAAAAATACACAAAAAAATGAAACACACCAGAAACATCTGGCATTTTGAGGAAGCGGGCATTTCTGGTGTTCTTCTCACTAATGAAATAAAAATTTTAAATAGCAGAATAGAATGACATTAGTTCTTCATTTAAAATAATAAACAAGAAAAAAGAAAAAAGTAAAGTCACCCAGATATTTTCATCTATTAATAACTCACCCAGAATATCTACAAGACCATTAGACTTAAGTTTTTGATAACACTGCAGGAAGACTAACAGAAAAAAGCTTTTATGTTACATCATTCGATATTTCTAATTGTTATACTGGCTTTTGATTACTTTATTTAAACTCCAAGTGCTGTTTTATCTAAAAATTAATTTTAGGCCAAAGTATAATAAAACTAAATTGTATTTAAATATTTCCTACTTTGCAGTAATGAAGGTATCATAGATGTTTATTAAATGTGGTATACAAACAGTATTGACTCCATTATTGAATCCACTAATGACCATTCATTCATCCTCAAAATTACTCCCGACACTCCTTAAATTAACTGTTTTTGCAGAAGTTAAATAAACTATTTTCTTAAAACAGTTGACTCATGTAAAAATATAAAGCTCCACCTTTTTCCCTTTCTGCCATTCTTTCACTTTGTTTGAGCCATGTGTGGAGGTGAAATAGCTCCACACATGGCTCTGCTTATACTCACCCATTATTGTCAACTAAGTGAGCGAGCACACGTGAGCTGTGATGCATTTATACAGGATATTTTGTGTATCACTATGACAAGTGGGGAAAAAAGTACTTCCTACCAATCATTTACAGAATCCCAGTAATAAAGTTACTTTTCCACTGTTTTTCAGTTCATGATAAATTACAAATTTATCACAAATGACTAAAATATCAATATTTTAATATGAGAATTGATTCTAGAACATAAATATCTTGTATCAGAGGCATCAGTATTTCACACCACTACTGAATGGCCCAGTATATCAAACCATCATTGCCACCACTGTTTCCATGGTTGCTAACGAATTAACCAACTGCTTCTTACTTAAAGCCACCAACTCTCTAATCTTCCTGAAGTTCTGACCCTCCAATGTGTAAGTCTGCAATAAGGATGAGTCATTTTAAGCCAGACAGCAGTTGAGCAAAGTTTCTCATGTTACAAAATGAACAAGCAGTATCACAGTATCCACTCTGCTCCATTTTCTTTGAGTTTTTAGGGAAGATGAGGCACATGAGAACATAGCTAGGATGAATTAGACCTAACGAGACTGGGAAGCAAAATCAAATACACTGCACACGGGATGAAAGACTGTCAAAATAAAACAGGAAGTACACGACACAGAAATGGGGAAGCGCAAAAGATAAAACACGAGGAGAGGAAAAGGGGAAGGAAGATGAAGCACAGCGACACGACTAAGACACACAGAGCACTATGGACACAACAGTCTCTCACAAGTGACACAGAGGTGAGACGAAGACACAAGAGAAACCTCACAGACACACAAGAAAACTTAAAAACATAGAAAGAACTAAACTCGATGCTAAACTTTAAAAACTTGAACTTAAACCGTCATAATATGAAGAGTCACAAAACACAAAAATAACTGGGGAACACAAAAGTCTGCAGCTGCATTCCACAGGTGCTAAACATTTATGTCTAGATGATGGATTGATGAACAGAACACAGTTTCACAATTTATGTATTTATTTTAACTTGTATTTGTCTTATTTATGAATTTATTCCATTAAACACTGATGCAGGAAAAGAGGGGTTCTTGACCCGACAAAAAAAAATTATGTTTAGTTACATAACACGGTTAAAAACTTTAAACTAAATTTTGGTCAAATCAGAAGGAAAAACTGAGGATAGGTTTCTTCCGACCTCTTCAGACCAGAGGGTACGTTGCATCAGAAGCAATCCCACACTGGTTGGATTTGTTCCTGCTCATCTTAATGTATCCCTTGTCTCCCCATCTGAGACCCCAGCTG